TGCGGCGTTTCGGTGCCGAGGCTCATCTGCACCCGGTCAGGAAAAAAATCAAAACAGATACTTAAAAAATTCCCAAAAAAAATTGTGTGATAGATAATTTGATGCATGAGGTTCGCTCTAATTTTTAGATCATTTGGACATCTGAGCTGCTCTGAGAAAAAAAATACAAATCGGGTCAGAACAGTGCGTGAACAGTTAACATTTTTACACACCCCGAATTTAACTTTTTTGTCGAGAGCTGCTCAGATGTCCAAATAATTTGACAATTAGAGCGAAGCTCGTGTATCAAATTATCTACTACCCAAAAAAATTTGGAATTTTTGGAATTTTTTTAGTATTTGTTCTAAAAAATCGTCAACGCGGGTGCAGCTGAGCCTGGGCTCAAAAGCGAATTACCGCAAGATGAATCATTTTAGCTCATCCCCGCTATTTTTCTACGTTAGATTATATAATCTACTGTTACATGCCCCCACACGAACATGTATACTGCTCTGATTTACAAATGCATTATGCACATATAAGTAGCGTTATACTAAGGCAAACAGCATATATACATAAACGAGTTTGCGAATCTTGGCATAGATCGGCGGTCCACAATCTACGTAGCCCCGCCCCTGCATGCCACAAATCGCCTTCTGTACCTAGTACTACTATAAGATGCCCGTGCATTGCACGGAACATCAAGATTGGGGGTGGACGGCGACGGCAGCAGCCATCACATCAGATTGTTTCATGGCCTTCTAGATGTGGTGGCGAAGAGATAAGGCTGACTGTGAGAGACAACGAGTTGTTTATAAATATGGAAACAAGTGCGGGCATGTTTTTGCAAAACTGCAGCAGTTTAGTTTGTATGCGTCAGATCTAGATCCGACGGCTATTGGTGAAAGATGACAGGCACACCATCATCACTAACTCAAATTTTTATAAAAGTAGAGATAGCCATTAAGTCGTTAGATAGTGCATTGCCCTCTCAAGGGCACAATGTATATCACCTTCCAAAGTTGAAAATAGACAGGCCAGTTTACTAACAAGTGAAATGCTAACCTTACGATGCCAACCAAGTAAATAAACATCCAATAATATGTATCTCAATTGATCTCTAGGAGTTCTTTGATTCTTTCAAAGCATCATACTGTTAGAAATTGTGGGCTATGCGGTCTACCCTCTAATTCCTCTGCCTTTTCCGTGGTGCCGCTCACAATGCATATTGAGACTAGAGGGTAGGGACCTATTTATAGACTCCACTTCCAGGTGTTTTATTATTTCCACCTATTTCCGGAAACATCCGTATGACTCCTGAGCAATGTTACCAACCACGATAAAACATGTCAATTTTCTGAGTCTGAGTATACTAGTCCACAATGTTTGGGAACTTATTATCTTACCAAACAACCGCAAGCCCATTGTATGTGAGTGTTTTTTAAAGAAAATTTGGCTCACTGGAATATTAATAATAATGTCACTCTTGTTATTAAATTATTTACACAAAGGGAAATATACTTTGTGGAAGTTCTTTCTCCAGAATTTAGGGAAAGATGGAATAAATACATGGTTTGCTAATTCAATATATTAATGTATGGTCTTATAACAAGCTTCACATCAATGGAATAGCAGGTCATATGGTTTTCTAAATGAAGCACTGTGGTCATCCACAAATGTAAGTATAAATTGTTTTGCATTACTGTTATATATGTTAATCATGTTTTTTTGTTGTTGTTGTTTGCAATGATAAAGCCACATTGATGGAAGTGAAAGCTTGGTTATCTTATAAATTTCATGTGAAAGGCATGTTTGAATCTTCCAATTATTTTGGGAGTGGAATACATAGGATTCTTGTGATATACTTTTCTATGGAAAATAGCAAACCTGTTAAATCACCTTGATAAAGGGAATCATACTCAGCAAGTAATTATGTTGGAACTCCTGAGGAAAAAGAGGACAATACTGGACTGTATTGTATCTTCACTATACAATCATACCTTAGCTACCGGAATTTATTGCTGCATTCAAGCAGTGGAAGGAAATATGTTTCGCTAAGGGAAACTCACGCATCATATATGATCGTGGAATGTGCATCACAACCTGTCACTTATTTCAAAGTTTATATTTGAAAGTAAACACAATTGAGAAAGTTATCATTGTATACACGAGGTGTGGAATGATTAAACTTAGGTACATATATTTCATTTATTTGTATGTATTAATACTGATATGGTGCATGTTCACTAACCAGAGTTAGGAATTCCTTTTAAAACATGTTTACACATGGAACTTCATATATTCATTATTATGTTTCAGCCAAGTGGGAGATGTTGGATATTTATGTGGCTTTCAACATAGTTATTATTTATTTAACTTAATGGGGAATTATTCATATTATTAATGTTTGTGACTGGGAATAAGTGATGCGGAATTTCACTCGAGGAAATAATACTCGAGGTGCCGAGGACGACTATGATGGAATACAGTAGAGGAATTAATAGGGATCGACTCTACTGAAATTTTATATGTACGTACGTATTTTTCCCGGGACATCATAGGATGGAAGAGCTGGGTTTGTTTTGCAGGATCGGCTCTGCAGGCTGTTGACCCACATGGTTAAGATTGGAATTTGATCTCACATATACAATCTAATCATGGCACATGACTCACACATGTGTGCTAGGGACTAGTATATTTAGACTTAGAAAACTGACATCTTTTATCGTGGTTGGTAACATTGCTCAGGAGTCATACGGATGTTTCCGGAAACAGGTGGAATAATAAAACACCTGGAAGTGGAGTCTATAAATAGATCTCTACCCTCTAGTCTCAATATACATTGTGAGCGGCACCACGAAAAAAGCAGAGGAATTAGAGGGTAGACCGCATAGCCCACAATTTCTAACACATACGAGGGTTATAAGGTGTTGTGAAAGGCTAGTAGTCTATGTAACCAATGGAGCTTAGAATCATTTCCACGTAATGAGATTCCAAAAGTTCGATCACATCCCAACCTTTTTTATCAGCTTATGCTAATAAAACTATTAGTTACTCTTCATCTTTCATGTCAAAATTTTGGAATACAATATTTGACATCCCTTATCACACCGAATTTAGTCCCCAAAAATAATGCGGCATTGACATGCAAACAGGGTATCACACTCTCATGTCCAAGATATGGCAGGTGTACACACCTATGCTAGTTATGTTTCCTATAAGAAGCGTGTAGATCTCAAAGTTATGTCAAATTAATCATGCCATCGCTAGGATGTTTGCTTGAGACATACAAAGACTTTAATTATAGGCTTTGGGGGCACGGATTTTTGGAACATGATTCCACACAAACCCCGTCATGAATATTAAAATCATAAAAATGCTAGAAAAATCAGGCGAATTTGAATTATTATTTTTGTAACATACATGATCGTTGTTCTACTCGCGTGTAAACTTGCGTGAAGAAATGACATAGGGGGTATTCTAGGCACAAAAGAAAATCAGTGCTATAAAAAAGATCATGTTTGAAGTAATTTGGAGGTCCGGTTTTTTCCTTCACTAAGAATACGACATTCATTCACGAAATTTCATGTGTGAGTAGAACAGTCAATTAAGTTTGATGGCCTAAAATTTTACAATCGTTTGGATTTGATTGCTATTTTTTAGATTCTACTGTTCATAATGGGTGCACATGTCCACCAGTCTATTCACATGGAACCATCTACACCATTGTATTTTCGTAGGCATTGTCCTCTTGACTATTTGCTAAAAGTCCACAAGTCCATTTACATGGAACAATGTGCATCATTGTATTTTCGTAGGCATTGCCCACTACTTCCTCTGCCATCTTGGTGCTACAGTATTTCCTAAATGCCCGCCAGTCTATTTTTAAGTAGCGCGGTTTGAATCTTGTACAGATCCAGCACACCTTCAGCTCCTACTGACTGCACGCGCTTTGCCGAGGCCAGCCCCATATGTTCAACTTGTGTAACTGGATGCAGAGGTGAATCCACGGACCACCACATGATTCCTGGTTAGCAGCCACAAAGGCAAGACCACCCGAGCCATAACTGCAGCAGAAAGAAGACAAGACTCCATTCTCCCAGCTTAAGACAAATTGGGTTTGAATGAGTCCGTGGACCTAGTAGCAAGGCAATACTTCAGGGCAACCTCTCAGCCGATCACACGGCACAAAAAGAAGAGAATGCGGTCAACATCCTCAAGCTCCCCATACCATACAACACGAGATGACAATGTACAGGCCAATTCCAATGAACTCCAACAATGGAGCTCACCGCGAGATTGCCTTCTTAGCCTCTTAGGGTAAGATAACCGGCGACGGGCAGCAGGACTACGGGGAGGCTTCATGGTCTCCCCCTATTTTGGCCCTTTCTCTGTGCATAACAGTTATACATACTTATTGCTTACGAGAATTTCCAGTTCCCTCTCCCGGCCGTTTTTTTTTTCAATTTTTCCACTGTTCCAAGACAACAATTCCTCCAGGCTAGCATTAGTAACCGACGTAGACTGCAGCATTGACAATGTAGCAGTCATCGTTTTTATCTCCCATTGCTTCGATGCATGTTCCACTTGAACAGATCATCCCGCCGTCAACGACCTCGCAGCTGGTGATCTCACCACTACAAATAACGAAAAAAAGGATATGAGATATTATGTTCTAAAAGGGGGAGTATAACATGTCATGTGGTACATCAAGATGCAAATTATCAGTAGTTCAGTAACTCCACTGAATTAAAGCCTCGGAATCAGATATCCTAGGCAAGCCCTCTAACTCCCAAGTTAGCTATTGTCGATTATGATGCGCTTATATCCAAGCCTTTGTGACACTAATATTACTCAACTGTGGTGAGTTTACTGTGAATAATACCATGAAATATGGCATAAATTTTGGATTGCTTGCAACTTTGAAAGGAACATTAATTGGAGGCAACTGTATTACACTTCCAGAAAATATCATGAGTGCGTTCAACACAATATTGGAATAGCGGCTTATGGTCTCACCACTATGCTGAAATTGCCCTTGGAGTGTACAATTGGTTGCATTGTTCGAAACGGCATAAAGAAATATGCCTACCTGTTCTTCCACCGAGACAAAATTTGTATCTCTTAGATGGCATCCCTCTCAAAGGCACTGGACCAAGTTACGAAAAATATACTTCTCCATCTGAAAATCTCTTTTACATCTCAATTCGGTCTCCCGTAAGGATGGATGTATGAATACGTGTGTGATTGGCCGAAGTTCTATCACTAGCATACAAAGCTTCGATGATAGCCAATTAGTCATCTTCCCTACGTTAGCACGTCAAAAAATTACCAAACATTCCGATTTACAATAAAACGCGCCTGCTAAGATGTGCATATCACATATCAGGCATAAAGTTTTAGAGGATTCCCCCCAAAATGATTGATAATAGAACACACATGCTAACTTGTCGTAGATCACATTCGTAAAGCAGGACTTTTTTTTCGTGAAGATTAACATACCTTGCAATGGCGTGTTCATTTGAAGCAGAATACATATGGGTGTGTTAGTTGAAGCCTTAAACATCAGCCACCTGTGCAATGCGCAAATCCAGGTGCTAGATTAGGTGACACATACTTGCTAGAAGTACAGGAGGCAGGGATAGACATACAAGTGAAAACTCAGGCTGCTAAAGATACTAGCATCTAGGTGCAGACGTGCTGACCTCATGCATGGCGACTGCATGCAGCCTGCGGCCGTTAGCAAACGCTAATTAGTCCGGTCGTGTAACTCCTTTAGTGTAGCTGAGTTAGGTTCAGTTGCCGTCCACACGTAACAACCGGTCAAAATTATGGTAAAACAGCACCAGCCAAACACCTCGGTAGTTTTGGTAAAACTGAAAAAAACTACGGTTTAAGAAACTGTAGTATTCCTTGCCCGCACATTGGAACACTGTAGTTTTGAATTACCACGGTTTTCTAAAAACTGTGCTGCCAAACTAAGCCCTAGTCATCAGCCCCATGTAACTGGATGGCTATAATTTTTAAATCACATCACAGTACAACAATTTACAGAATTTGTTATATGTGAGATACTGAGATATATAGGAATACATTGAAAGAATATTACTGAAAACATATCATACTTTTAATTGCTAAAGGGCGTACCCAGTGCTGAAAGCTCCCACACAAAGTGGGGTCTGGGGAAGGGAATTTCTAGACAACCTTACCCTTGCATAATAATTCTGCAAAGAGGCTGGTTTGAACCCAGGCCGCCAGGCCACAAATGGAGAGAGACTACCACTGTGCCCGGCCCGCCCTTCATACTTTTAAATTGCTACCCAAAGATAAATTCTATTACTACTTCAATTAGATTTACTTAATTGTATTGTCAATTTGTCATTCTCAATTGTTTTACTTCCAATTTTCGGAAGTCTTGCAGCCCAATGACCTAGGATTTCCAAGAACTGTTTTTTCTTGTCAACCAAGATTGATTTGTTAGATTTCTATCTAGGATTGGTACACTTATCTGTAGTCTAATGGATAATTTGACACATTTGTTAAATTCAAGGACGATTTAAAAAGACCAATGAACTGAAATCACGGCACATGTATTATGTTCAAAATTGATGAGGATGCTCGCCTGTTATTTACTTAATCAGAATGGATTTCCAACTGTTTACTTAATCTGAGAATATGTGTATATATGATACCTAAGACAGACATAATCTTGATGTAACATTAACATATACCACTTTCTACATAGGCAATATTGATTGAGAATTATGAGACGTTCTCTTCTATAGATGGAATGGCTATGCTACACAAAACATTTAGTTTCGGGGAAGTTTTATTTGTTTTTCCCTTACATTATTCCAGCATATACCACAATCAATGGGTGGTGAAAAAAAATACATAGCATCCATCATAGATCCTGTCCGTCTCTTATTAATACAGGAAATTTCACCCTCTTTTCAGAAGTATAAGATAGATGCATACTATTTCTTAGCAGCCTCCTCGTACTTGTGCCAACACATAACTATCTATCCTATTAGGGAACATGACCAACAGCAGCTTTCTTCCTGCTAATTACGATTATTCAGTTTCATTTTTCTTTTTGACAGATGGTTCAACTTGATAGGTACGCACAATATCATGACATCTATGGAATAGTTGTTGTATCCATCCGATAGGGCAATGTGTCCGTCAAAACTTTTCTCTCCTCTGATTAACTATGACTGGTTGGACTCTTTTGTCGAGGGACGAATCAACTTCACGTGTACCATGTATCATGTGCAAGTAGCACTTCTGCTATCGTGTACAACAAAAACTATTACAAATATCTGAGGGTCCTTGTACTGTCTCAAAATGTAAGACGTTTTTTGACACTATTACATTTTGAGACAGAGGGAGTATTATCAAACCAATAGTCAGATGATCTCCTTTTGAAAACTTCTAATAAATTCCTCTAGAGAAGTGGTGGCTTAAAAAGAGCCCCCAATTAGTAAATATAGCATGCAAGAATGCCTATAGCTTTTAGGAACTGTATGAGTACTACGCAATATGCAATATTCAACTCTTGCAAGTATATCTTCTCGACAAGTCATGTAAATCGCATGATTGCTCTCCTGTATATCCACATAAGGTGCTTTCGTGATGTTGACTGTTATCTTACCTCACATTGCATAATGCCTCATAAAGTTGAACATTTAATGAGACACTAGCCTTGGTTTGGCCACCTTGTTACTTACACTTGCTAGTACACGTGGTGGTAATGTTTTCTGACCTGAATAAAATCTTCCACATCTGAAACACATGGTGGTGTTGAGAATTCTAAATCACTCAGTACATTACTGACCACACATCCTTCTGTTGTGCTGCTTGATAAAACTTTGGCAGCTTTGCCATTCACGCCCAGACGGTATAATAGGCATTTTGACTAATTCCCTTAACCAAGATTGAAATACGCATGCTCTGCAATAAGGAATATATACCTCACTCTAATGACTGAGCCAGCACTAACCTAGGACCGTGAAAATTTTCTTGTCATAAATAAGAGCCCATCACAATGGAGCATTGCACTTGATTCTAGTTCCTGCCCTTGAACGGTCAAGTTTGAAGATTTCATAGAAACAAAGAAAAGGCAGAGAAAATGCTCACTAGGGGAAGACGGCCTTGATTCTCTCAAAGTCCAACAGATGCTGCACCGGCCTCGGGACACCCAGCTTAATCTGCAGCTTCATCTGCTCACTGTTCACCCCTGGTATCGACCCTGCGGACGCAATCGGCACCAAAAGCAGGGTCAGCTGATGATCCGAGTAAACGCTTTGTGTGCCGGGGAGGTGTTCGGCGAAATAACCGAGGGAAACAGGTAAGCGATTGGGTTACCGCGGCGGAAGGCGGGGATGGAGTTGGAGGAGATGGCATCCTTGCAGGCGCGCACCGCGGCGGAGGTGATGTCCTGTCCGTGCTGGTCGTACCCGACGCCCATCTCGACGAACAGCAGCTTCATGGCCTCCTCCGCCCCTTGTTGCTGGCCATCGCGCGTCTGTGGCTGGGCTGCCGCCATGGAAGAGGAGGCGATGGCTCCGGCGACTGGCCTCTTTGCCTTGGGGGGTCGGGTTCGAAGGTGGAAGTGGGAGCGAGACGGCGGAGGGGAGAAGCACGGGGGCTGTGGTGTTCCTGGTTTTGTCAGGCAAAGGAGACTGCCGGAGAATGGCGCTGCTGATGCCATCGTGTTTTGTCTGATTTGATTTGCTCTGCTCTGCACTGACTGAATACACACTATCCTGGTCTACCCTGGTTGGGTCCGCTATCTGAAGCACTACTCCTACCAGATCTGCGAGTGTGTGACTCACAACGGAAATCTAACCTGCGAGAAGATCAATCTCTACTGCTCTTATTAGAGCAACCCCAACGGACCGATACAAACGGATGACGACTTCATTTGCTTTTTGTCCGTTTGGGTCAGCCACCTGTCCGGTGTCCGACCTGTTTTCATATGGATCGGCAGCGCGCTCAACGCGTCGATCCATATGTACAGACGTGGCCGGCTGGCTGCCTAATTTTACATTGATTTGCATTACAACATATTATGAAACGAAAATTTAACAAGCAAAATAGTTTAGCCGCCCAAATAAATAGTATAGTTAGGAACTTTTTCTACTGTCTTCATAGTTAAAAATAAAAATAAATAGTATAGTTTTACAGGCCAAATACAAAGAAAAAATGTTTCACATAATTTTGCAAACGAATAAAAGAAGATACATCTATTGGTTGCCAACATGAGTTCACATATGCTCAACGAAATCATTTTGCAGTTGCACGTGAGTTTCCCAATCACGCATGTTTTCATGAAACTGAGTGAACTGCTCAAATGTTGCCGCTACTCCATGCTCAGGCACAACATTCTCACTCTGAAACTGAAAGCATTGATCGTACATACGTTCCGGACGCTCGTCTTCTACGATCATATTGTGCATGATCACACAAGCAGTCATCACCTCCCATAGTTTCTGCGTGCTCTAAGTATTAGCAGGATACCGAACGATGCCCCATCGAGATTGCAAAACACCAAAGGCACGCTCGACATCCTTTCTAGCACTCTCTTGCTCTTGGGCAAATCTTTTCCTTTTATCTCCGACGGGTTGGGTATTGTCTTGACAATAGTGGTCCACTGAGGATATATACCGTCATCCAAATAGTACCCTTTGTCGTAGTTGTGGCCGTTGACAGTAAAGTTCACCGGTGGGCTGTTGCATTCGGCAAGCCTAGCAAACACCACGAGCGCTAAAGCACGTTGATATCATTGTGTGATCCAGCCATGCCAAAGAAAGAGTGCCAGATCCAGAGATCTTGAGACGCCACGGCCTCTAGTATGACAGTGCAAACCCTGACATGTCCCTTATACTGCCCTTGCCAAGCAGAAGGACAGTTCTTCCACTCCCAGTGCATGCAGTCTATGCTGTCAAGCATCCTCGGGAAGCCCCTGCTGGCATTCATCGCCAACAAACGGGCTGTATCTTCAGCTATCGGCTCTCTCAAGTACTCAGGGCCAAAAAACAACAATCACAACCTTGCAGAACTTATACAGGGACTCTAGGCATGTAGACTCGCTCATACGGACGTACTCGTCAATAGATCACCGGGCACTCCGTATGCAAGCATTCGGATGGCGGCAGTGCATTTCTGATAAGAGGAGAAACCAATATTGCCGACAGCATCCTCTTTGCACTCGAAGTAGTCATCATAGCCGACCACTCCCTCTCTAATACGGTTGAAAACGTGCCTACTCATACGGAACCGGCGGAGGAATTTGTGATGTTTGAACAACGGGCTTGTTGTATCAAAGTAGTCCTTCCAGAGAAGGAAATGCCCGCTCTCTCGGTTACGATTCAACGCCGGAAGGTGGCCTGAAATGGAGCCCCAGAACAACGGCCGCTGGTTGTTCATGTGGTGATGGACCAACACGGCAGCCAATATCTCCTCCTCCTCGTCAGACGACGAATCGTCGGAGTCGCAAAGGAAATTGTGGAAAAAGAACTCGTCGGCGGAGTCCATTTTCGTACCTTGGCAATCTGTCGAACAGCTTGCGGGCGTCAAAGAAGGAGACGGCCGGCGAGCGGAGACGCGGCGCCCACAGACCAGCTAGCTGCCCTGCCGGCGTCCGACGAGTGTGACGGCGTCCAACGAGCGTGCCGGTCGTATGTGGCGGGGGCGGCGAGGCGTCTTCTTGGTCGCGAGCGG